ATATAGAGCGGTCGGGCATCTATGTATCGATACAGAACCACAGAAATTTAGCCTGTGTTCATGCATCTTAGGATGAGAAAATTATTTCATGCAAACAAAATTCCTTATCCCAATCCTAGGTTCATGAAGTTCAACAACCGAGTACTACGTAGGGTCCTGATCCGAGACAGCAGGGCTGAGTCCAGCATTGTGGCGTTGTACAAGAAGCTGGAGCTGCAGAACGCCATGGAGATCCTGGACACGGTTTCTGGGGACATCAGTGCTGCTGCTCCTTCCCTCGTCTCCCTTGAGTATGAAACCTTGATCCTAAAACCACACAGCTTCCTCACTGTTTGGTCAGATCAGCAGGAGCCTAACTAGTAAACGTTATTTCTGAATTAATATATCTTCTTCTTTTTTTAAAATTTAGGCAAGAGAAGAAGGAATCTGCTAAACCAAAGAAGACATTCATGGCTCAGGACCTGAAAAACATGCACAACCTCCTTTCCAAGAACATGTACAAGATCAGGCAACGGGTAAGATGGACAATAAAAACAGCACTGCTATTAGGATTTGGTCATTTATTTGTCAGAATCAATCCATGGAATAATTTTCATTTGCTTGTCTGGGGAACCATTTCCCTTTTATTTTGGTATAAATTCAACTGGTAGACCCAGTGACAACTTTAAATAATCCACCAGAATTGTTTCAAATTTCTCCACATTTCAACTCTGGAGGAGAGACCGCCGTAACATCACATCCTCTTCCATGCTTAATAGTGAGAATGTGATATTTTTCACACTCGTTTGTACTGTGTGTATTAATTCACACGAAGATATATTTGGTGTTTTGAACTATTAGATAAGGAGTTGTAAGACTTTTTAGAGCAAATCTAATTTATTCAGACGTAACGGGTCCCACTGATGTGTTTGTGGAAACTAAATGGGATAAAATTCACAAAGTCGACATGGAAACCAGAACATCCTCTAAGTCTATCTATAAACATTTTTATTATTATTTTTTTTTGTTACACAGGTCTGGCCCAGTAAATGGAGCTTCATCAGAGTTTTTTTTTTTTTTTTTCCAGTAATGTTAGCGACATGTGAAAACTCCATGCACTGAAACTGGGCTTGTTTTGCATAACGATGGTGTGTCTGTGGCAGTACTTTTCCACCAGTGACAATGACATCATCCCTTAAAACACTTTCATGTGCAGACAAACGGGAAACAAGCTTCCTGGTTGGGCTGGAAGCTTTATTTTTAAATATTTACAGTTCTTTGTTGTGCGTTGTTCTTTTTAAACAGTGTCCATTGTGAACTAATATCCTTTTATTCTTTTTAAGAATAATTTTGATTCAATAATCCCATATGTGACAGTACATCTTGTTGTCTGTTGCACTGTGTTGTTTATATCTACATAAATAAAAATGGTAGTTTTGCATCATGGAGAATAATTTTATGGTTGCAAAGCTCAAACACAGAAACTTCCCCCCAGGTGTGGTCAGTTTTGGTTGAGTAATCCGAGCTTCAAAGAATGCTGCCTCCCCTGAAAGAGAGCACTTAATGGCTTATCTATCAGAGCCTTGGTTATCTCCAGAAGACGATGTAGGCAGTGCAGTTGCATTTCTGACTTCTGCAAACGTCCACAGAAGCCAAACTTGATCAAATGTGTGAAAGAAGCCCTCCATAAAAGCCACAACTATGCAAATAACATCGTCTTACTTTGTGTTTATGTTTTCAGACGGTGGCGTTTACGAGTAAATATGCTCTGCCCAACGACAACCAGCCCAGAGAGATCCTGATCAGACGCCACGCCAGCATCCGCCGGAGCCTCCGACCCGGCAGCTTTCAGTCAACAGTAAGCTTTAATTCAGGATTTCACTGATTTTTCCAAATGCTACCATACTTAAAAAAAAAAAAATGTTTTGCTTTTGTCATCGAACTAGGATTTTTTTTGCAACATTAGTAGAAATTGTAGGACAACTAAAGAAAAATCCAAATGAATGAAATCTGAAAACAATCTGGGATAAGTCACATCGTTTCTTAGGTGACTTTGAACAGTCCCAACAGTAAAGTACATGTAATATTTTCTAATATAAATCGATAACTTTAAGTGATTTATACTTATGTTTTATTTAAATATATTAACCTAAATTGCCTTTATTTGTTTTTTTCTGTTTTGGCTGCAAGATATCATAAGATCCATAATATAATTATAACATAATTCAGAATTTAGTTCTCATGTAGCCCATTATTAGCCCAAACCATAAAAAAAATTAAAGTCTTAACTGAATTTGGTGTAATTTAATGTTAATACAGAGAAATTAGAAAATTTACGTGAGTGATGGCATTTATTTATTTACTTATTTATTTATTGTCATGTGACTAAAGCTTAAAATCCATCGTTACTCGCCAGGTTCTAATTTCGACACTTACAGAAATGAGTTTTGTGGATCTGAATTTCATTGACTTTGTTAAATGAATTGGGGAATTCATGCGTATATTTGAGAATTGAATATTTCATTTGTTTACAGCAGTGTTGAAACTAAATAATTGTCAAGATCCTTTTCAATTACAGCAGTTTTTTGTGTGTGTTTTTTTGTGGTTTGCTTGATGTTTAAACAGATAATCTTAGGGGTCTCAACATTTGTAAATATCTACACATTCCTAATCATGATATAAATCAGTAAATGTTAAAACAAAAACCCTTGCAGGCACGCTAATTATCTGTTTTGTATTTTTATTCCCAGATTCCAAACTCTCAGAAATATTTCTCACTTCCTACTGGACAGAGTCTGGGGTCAAAATATCCATCTGCGAGGCGGAGTTATGCAGGTAAGTTTCTAAAACTACACTTACAAACGCTTTTTTTTTTTTTTCACGAGCTAGGAAACTAATTAGGCAAATATATTGAGTCAGTCATAACTTTTATCACATTTTCTGATGTCACAGCAACAAGTATCGATGTATTTTATTGAGATTTTATGTGATCTGAGACAGAAAAACTGTAAACTGGGAGGAAAAGAATAAACAGTTTCTGCTAAATAAAATACAAAAATGCTCATGTTATTTTGTTTTAATTCCCCTTTTTACTTTGAAGACCAGAAACAAAATAATATCTAAAAGCAATATTGCTTTTAGAAATTATCTGTCTTCCATGCCCAGATGTCCTTTTTCATTAGACACCAAAGTTTTTGGACAAAAGCGTAGAGACCCATTTAATAGCTCTACTCACAGTAAATATCAACGTATTAAAATATGACCAACAAATAGAAGATGCCTGTGAAGTGGAAGGAAAATGTTAGAGAAAGCACAAACGTCTGTTCTTTTAATTGCTGCTTTATAATTTTTCCTTCATGGTTCCCGTCCTTCTATTCTCAGACGACCATGAAACCATGTCGGAGGTAGCCTATCCTACCCGGCGCTCTCGATTCAGCCAGCCCAAACGCTCCTCGTCCGGAGCCATGATGCCTCTTCACAGGCTGGGAACTCTGAAGGAAGTTCCCTCCACTGACTTTCTCAATGAAAGCCAGGGTGAGAGCTTCGGCAAAGTACACAGCAAACCCCGGACTGGCTCCTCCCACAGCGACTCCCGCTTCCCAGCTCATCGTCGCCACTTCGACCCTCCTGTTGACAATAACAACGGCTCCGCTGATGACGTAAGAAATGAGGACGAGGCAGAAGAAGAGCAGCAGCGGCAGCATCGTGGGGCTTTGAGGCCTCCGCCCAGCTGGGCGGCTGAACCCAGAGACGACACGCCTCGAAACCCTCTGCTCAGACAGCCGCAGTGGAACCCAAAGAAGTAAACGACTGCATCAAATAGAACCTCAAATTGTAAAAAAAACAAAAAAAAACTTTGAGTGTTCTGATTTTACTTTCAAAGATGAAGGCCAATTTACACTGGAGGTCTTTTTTTCCACTTTTTTCTGAAGATAAAGTTCCGGCTCATAGGAGAACCTCGTAGAAAAGAGGTGCATCAGAAGCCCAGCGCACTGCGGGGAAGGAGCTATTTCAGAACGTCAGACAACTCTTAGTGTGTCTCATTTCACATTTTATTATTCATTTTTATATTGTTTTAAGCTGTCAAATTTGATCAAGGAATTACAATGTACATGTTATGGCTTTTATTTTATTCCATGTTGTAAAGCTGAGGAAGCTTCATTTTATTGACACCTTAATGTAGTTAAAGAGTCCTTGTCACCCACTGGTCCATTTTATCTTTAAATTCAATGTTGCATGAAATTGCCAAGTATTACATGTGTTGATATAACTTCAGGAACTTGTCATTAAGCATAAAATGTGGTTGACTGTAGGCTGCACGATCCCAACTTAAGGTAACACTGAAAGCTGAATTAGAAGAACTAATTTACTTGGATAAAAAAGGGAGAACGATGGGAAAATGTAAGATTATTTTATTTGATTATTGTTTTCGTGCAATTTTAGTCTTAAAAACAAACAAAAAAAAGATCTTGACATAAATGTTTGGACAACTCAAGATATGTGGGTTCTTACAATTTTTGCAAAAAAAAAACAACTGATTTTAGGTCAATGTTTCATTCATTCATCAATTTAAAAATGTCAAACTGTAAATGGAAAAAGTATTCTTTTTTTTACATTTTGTTACAACTAAAAAATTCAGTGGATTTTATTATTAATGTAGCTCATAATGACAGAGGAAAATTCATTCACAGGTGTTAAGACTTCATTCTTAATCCTCAAATAAAAATCTTCATTGCATCTTGTAAGTCTTAAACACTGAAGTACAGAGATGGTCTCCATCCAGTCTGACTGAATTTGAGCATCTTTGAAAAAATAAATAAATAAATATATACATAAAATACTTCAGTTTCTAGATTTGCAGAGGCACCATAAGCATTCATCAAAAACCTGCAGCTATAACTAGAACAAAAGAGTTTCATCACAAAAAATGTTTCAGACTTCAGTTTTTTATTTGGAATTATTTTGAAAACCGTTTATCATTTTCTTTCCATTTCACAATCATGCACATTTTTTTCTTGATGCAAACACTTTTGTAAAGGCACTGCAAATATTAAATATTAAAACATTAGTCCAACCAACAGCAGTGATGAACCTTCATAAACACAAACTCCTCCATAACGCATGGGGGACAACTGAAGAATGCAAAACGTGATTAAACTGTAAAAACACAAAGGTTTCGCATTTAAAAGAACAAAGACTTACCAAAGTCTCTGAACAAACTTCTCTTGCATCTGCAAAAATATTTAAAAATTAAAGCTGTGGGTCTTGTGTGAGTCCTAGATGTGTTTTCAACTATCTTTCAGAAACCAGTAGTAGTAGAACAGCAGTTTTACTGCCGTTAGTCATATTTAGTCAATTCAAGAGCCGATTGCAAACTCAGTTCCCATCCAGCCACATGGGGCCCACGTAGATGAGAGGTGCAGATATGCAGAGGGAAGAAAAAAAAAAGCTAAATTACAGATGAACTCACCACATTGCATTTCTTTCAGAAAATGAAAAGCTTAATTTAAAGCTAGAATAGTTTAACAACAGAAAGTGATTTTGCCCTAAATCTAAAAGACATATTAATATGATGTAGTGATTAATTATGGTGTTTAGCAACTGAATACGAGATAAAATAAAACTGTCAAAATACTGTTTTAAGTCAAACTGGACTTTTTTATGCGTCACAGTAAGGGCATCTTGAACTCAGACATAAAAAGAAAAACTTTCATTCACAATTATTTTGAACAATACTTACCATTATTTAGGGCTGTACTTGTTTAATATGTAGTGCAAAGAAAAAAAATGATTTACTTCATTTAGAGTTGCCATTAAGGTTAAAAGCTGAATTTACTTTACACCATTTACACTGCATTAGAAAAGAAAAGGTGCCACTGAGGTGTAATTTGTAAAAGTTTTTCATATTACTACTTCTACAATTTAAACAGGTCAATATGCCCGAAATAATATAGAACAATTTTTTAAATGGTGAAAAATTACAATCACAAATTTATCACAGTGATTTATCTAAGGTGAAAATTCTTACCTGGGACTTTAGATAAAAACTGCAAATGAAATCAAGTAATGACACACAGGCATAGTGCAATTTTGCTACATGAAAGCTGTTTTATAAGGCTAAAGGAGGAAATACAATTGATGCATCTATAACAGCATGTGTTGTATAGATGAAACCATAATCTCTGCTTTGGTAGATTATCTTTACATTCTGATGCTTTATGACCTTTTCTCACAATTTCCTCCGTTACAATACGTCTTAATCAATAATCAATAGTGAAGATGCGTCAAGAGAAATGCTGCTGATTGGAATTCAACCGGCCTGCATGTAAGCAGCCCAATCATGTCTGCAGTTGGATCAGACTTCGATTTAGTGAGAGAGAGCAAGACTTAACCCTTTTCAGTGTTGAGACGTTGCCTTGAACTGCTTCTGGTCCAGCCTATCCTTGGATCATTTTGGAAGAACATTCCTGCCATCTAGGTTTAACAGTGTGCAGGACACACCGGTTGTGATTTTGCAGTAGAAAGGAGCTTCTGAGCTACATGCATTAAAAAAGCCCCAATAAAACTCATGATTTAATTACATTTTTCAAAGCTCTGTTTAGCAGCATTAATAACATAATTTAGGTTCCTGAAATAGCTTAGCTACCATTATTCATAATTATGGTTCATGCTGATAAGTAGAAATATGTCTAAATTTAATATTAACTACACATCCTATTTTTAAATAAACCATTTTTATTTATGTTAGCATCTGCTTAGCATCTGCAAAAAATTGTAAAATGGAAATATAACAGTAAAAAAATATCAGTGTGTAATGGAATAAAGTAGATAATGGGAAGTTTGAACAGAATTAAAATGTAAACAGCAACATCATTTAGTGTTTCTTATAAGATGGTAACCCTTCCCCTTTTTTTAACACAACTTAACATTCCTAATATAAATATTTAATGACTGCTAACAGCAGAAACATTTTAAATGCACACAAATGGTTTGGAAAGAGAAATTAGAAATGGATAAAATCCTTGCGAACCTTTCCAACAGTTGCAGAACGAGTATTGGTCACAAAGTTATAACTAGAGGATCTGCAATAACGACAGTTTCAGTGGTCTTGTGTCTTCATAAATCAGTGGCGAGTGTACCTCTAAGTAGCGCTGACAGAACTAAATTAACAACACGGCGTAGATTATTGCAGTAACAAGGACACCGAGCCAAAGTTAAGGCCCTCACTGCGTGTTTCTGTGAGATCCGACTTCAGCATGTAAGGAAGCACAAGAAATTCTGCAGCCTTTTCCTCCGAGCTGCAAACGTCCACGGTCCCTGAGAGAAAAGCCTGCGGTCCTTGTGTCGTGACATCAGCAGATTCGTTTGGCGGAGGCATCCGTGGTGAGAGACTCTGTTCGCGCTGAGGGTCTCCCGTTCGCCACAGATGCTTGCCGCAAATAAGAGCACTTCGAAAAGTGGCGGATCTGCATCGACTCGACAAAAGATCGTCATTCAGCTGCAGAAACGGTTTTAAAGTTTCACTGTTTTTGCCAGCGCCCTCCCGTCCCACTTTGGGATTCTGACGAGGAGCAAACCCACAGCTGCCAGAGCGAGCACGACCCCCAGACTGGGCGGACCGCAGGGGCTGATCTCCTGGGTCAGACCAGAGAGGAGCGGGGCCAGGACGCGGCCCACGGCCGTCACCGACTGGCCGGCCCCGATCAGAGTCCCGCTGGTGTGGACGCCTCCCCTTTGGAGCTCCAGGTCTGTGATGCACGTCCGTCCGATAGAGGTAGAAATGGCGAAGAAGGTGGAGGTGAGCACCACCTGCCACACGCTCGGAGCGGCGGCGTAGAGGAAAATGAGCAGACAGGTGAGCATGGTGGAGTGGAGCAGCAGAGCGGGCATGTTGTTCCTGTAGAGCTGGGTGACCGGCCCCACCAGGAACCCGGCCAGGGCCCCCAAGGTGCTGCTGTAGCTGATCAGATAGCCCGTCATCTTCGGTTTCATCGAGAAACGCTCCTCCATGGCCAGAGAGAAGTTACTGTAGTAGAGCATGATGGCGACGGCCATCAAGAGACGCACCAGAAAGAGGTCCCACATGTCGGAAGAGGCCACCATGTGAATCCTGGAGCTGACGGAGGTGAGCTGTCTCCATGCAGGCTGGAGCAGCGACACCTCCCTCCACCTCAGGCCAGGCTTCCCAGCAGCTCTGCGCTCCGCTTCGGTCTCCGTCGGCGACGCTGAGTGGTGGTTGTTTGCATGAGAGCCGTTCTGCACAGACTTGCCGCAGTGTTTGTCGTGGCACCTTTTGCTGGCGCTGTTGCTGCAGTTAGTTGCGTTTCGATCGGTTATCGTCTCGCTCCACGGCAGCAGCCACACCAGCCCTGAAGCACAAACACGACATTAGACAGCAAATAGAAAAACTGCTGAGAGGACGCGCCAGGGGTTGTTGAAGAAAGAGACGGAGCTGAAAATATTTTATATGGAGCCCAAATGGAGGAAGGGGAGACATGCCGGTGCTCAGGAAGTGGCAGTGATGCTTATATTTCCTCAAAGCAGACGCCCGTGGCTATCTTTTGAAGCATAAATCATTTCCGTAGGGTTAAAAATGCATGAACAGCAGCATTTTGTTTGTGAAAAACCAGTCAAACTTGAAAAAGCATCAATGCACACTGTGCAAGTTGAAGAATCGCATCATTGAAACACATTAAAAAAACTGAAAATGGACAAAAATATACATAACACTTAAATCCTGATTTTATAAAAATCAAAAGAGATATCAAGAAGCTGAATCATTTGAAGACAGCTTAACATCTTGTGACTTATCTAAAAGTTGAAAGGAGTTTTAGGTTGAAGTAAGCAAAACTAATAGATTGTTAAAGAGCACAAAGTTTTTGCAGAGTTTTGTGGAATTCTGAATGTTTTCATTCTTTGGGATTCTATGGAGTCAAAATCTGGATAAATGTTAAAATATTGCATAAAGTATGAAAGATGAAATTACCAAAAAGGTTACGGCAGAATTAGAATTCACCAGTAGAAGGTGAACGTTTTGATATATGAATTGTTGAAATCAGTTGAAGCATAAAGAAAATAAAGAGAAATAAAAACACAGACTTAAGAATGAGATTTTGTAATGTCGGATTATTTAGCGCTTTAGGCTCACCAGCATTGATAAGAAAGATGGCTGCACATGTAAATGAGGAGGTGTAAAAGCCTCCTTCGTGCTCAGTGAGGTAGCCGCCTACTACAGGACCCAGGATGAAGCCGACGCTGGAGGCCGCATTAAAGTGTCCCATCACAAGAGGGCGCTCTGATTCAGACACCAGGTCTGACAGCAAAGCTCTGCAGATGGACAAGGAGTGTTTGAACAGCCCTGAAAAAAAATAAAATACACACACACTAGTTATAAAATTGTTGGTAAATTTTCCACATGTTGATGTTTAATATATAAAACAAAGTTATGCATAATTAGACAGAAAATGCAGAATTTAATCAATAAAAATCTGAAATGTGGGACGTGTGTTTGCGTCATCCGTCGTTCATCAAGTGCAACCAGATGTTGTCTAATTAGTGAATTGAGTTCACAACAAGGAACACACCATCCATGCGGTGAAAGATGGTGGCAGCATCATGCTGTGGGGATGATTTTCTTCAGCAGGAAAAGAGAAAATGTGAAGATGGATTGAGCTAAATCCTGCAAGAAAATCAGTTGCACTCAACAGGCTAGAGATCAAATTAAAATTTCACATTCCAGCTGAAAAATTAACATTTTGTTTAACATCTGTGGCTATTAATGAGTTTTATTTCGCTGGGCAGAGGGGACAAAATGCCTCTTTAGATTGTTAAGGTTGTAGACACTTGGATTAGGTCATGTATTAGAATGGCCTAGTTAAAGTCAATACCTAAATAGAGTAGAGAACCTGTGGGGAAATAAATTTTCAAAAAAGTCAATTCAGCATGGCTGAACTTTAGTTATTTTCAAAGCACAACAGGGGAAAAAAAAAAAAAAAAAGAGGCTCTGATGTCTTCAGAGGGACGTACAGCTTAAATCAGACGTTTTATCCACAAGAGTCTTTGGAACAGGCGGTCATTTGGTGCTGTCAGCCCCCCACCCTCAAACTCACCCACAGGTATTCGTGCGAGGACAAATAAAGTGATGCTTGTAGAAATCCCCAGCAGGCCGTAACCGCAGGCGCTCAGCAGGATAGACGTCAGCAGGGAATAGCGCCGCCCCACCACGTCGCTCCAGCTGCCCTGCCAATCACACACCGATCCGTTCAACGACACATCGACATACGCTTTGGCAATAAGCGTATCATTAAGCTATCAATGGCAGAGTTGGACAAAGGAAAAGCATATTTCTTAACAAGCGCGTACAGTAAAGAAAAGTTTGTGACTTTGCTCTGAAACTATGCTAGTTGTGTAAAAAAAACCAAAAAAAACCCCACACGACTCAAAAACAAGAGGCACAACAACTAAAACTCCACATCCTCTGTGCGCCAAGCAGCTGTGGTTCGATTAGATTCTCGCTCTCTCTCTCTCACACACAGACCCACAGCAATGATGAAATGATAAAATTAGGAGCAGTTGAGACGATCTGTGCTCTGGATGTAAACTTTTGGGTTGCAGCTGTTCACATTATCCCAACATTCACGGGGATCCAGTCCGTCTGCATGAGGGCACCAACAGATGACTCTTTATGTGCTTAATTTGTCCCATGACCCCTGAAAATTAAACCAATTTCTGGAGCCGTGTGCAGCAGCAGCGGCAGCAGCAGAAGGAGTTAAGAATTCAGCTGCAGATGCCAAACTTACTTTGTGCTCTTTCCTTCATTTTTTTTTAAATTTTAAATCATGCAACTTCATGATTTTGTTGATTTTGTAGGTCGCTCTCTGAAGGGCGGAGACGATTAGAAATGATTTCTGTATTAAAAGAAGGATTTTGTGGCTGACCAGGAGCCACTTACGCGCGTTAAAGTCTTCACAGTGATCCCATTGTGCGATCACAATCAATCTTGAACAGCCAGTTTTTTTTTTTTTTTTTTTTTTGTTTCCACGAATTACCAGGAATTCAGCCATTTTGGCCACTAAAGAGGGCTCGTCTTGTTTACCAGAAAATCCTACAGAAAAGGAGGCTGCACAGAGAAACAAAGTCAATACTCACCACTATTGTGCTGGAGAAAAGCTGCAATATTCCATACGTAGATCCTGCAAATTATAGATCAAGTTACAAATAAAAATCTTGCTTGCAGATTTTTATTGTTAATTTTAAAAGTGTAAATACTATTTGTTGATTGAGTACTATCTACTAAACAGTTAAGGTGACTGTAAAATTGGTTTTATGATTCAGATTTGCATCCAGAATAATAAACTGGGGAACTTCCATTTTTTGAGTTTACATGGATAATAAATCCTAATATATGAAGAGAAGCTATGAAAGAAATCACAGCAAACTATTTAAGTGTTGCATTTAAATTGAATGCACATTTTCTTGTCAATCTGCACAAGAAAATGTGTTTTTTTGTGTTTTTTTCCACAGTGGTTATAGCACAGTACCACATGTATTCATAACCCTTCAAATTTCAGGAACGTTTTCACATTACAACCACGAACAACAGACAACAGCATCTTTTGTTAGGATGTTATGTGCTCTAAAAACAAGTCTTTTTTTTTACAGCTTTTCTTTTAAATATTGTTCTCTGTCCATTTTCCTACTAACTCTGAAAACCTTTCCTGACCTTGCAGAAATGTATTACTCAACACAACATAAAGCTCCCACTTCCATGTTCTTAACTGGAGATGGAGAGTTCAGTACGATTTGCTACGTTAGTTTTCTACCACAAACTGAAATTTAAGTGAAGTCGAACAAGTTATAATATTACATTCATGTGAAAAGAACATCTTCCTCAAGCTGTATGGCTTTTCTAAAATGTTTAAACAAGACTTTTTATGATTTTGTTCTTGTTGTCCCTCCAGATGTGGGAAGTGAATAACTAATTCTTGGCTGCTTTCCCGGGTGATGCTCTCTAATTATTTTTGAAGGGTATCAGAAAGAGGGCTAGATGTTAGATTTAGAATTTTAATAACAAAATGAAAATCTTTTACCTTTCGCAACTTAATAATTATTTTTGCGTTGATCTGTCACAGAAATTCCAATAAAACATGTTGAATGAAGTGAAGCCGTCTAACGTAAAGAAGACAGTCTTTGTTAAAAGTACACTCCTGTGTTTAAGTATTGGGTTAAAGATGAATGTTTTCTGAATTAATTCACCAATTTTGTCCTTTTCGTATTGATCTGTAAAGTTTTAGTAACTAATTAATTTTGAATGTGACATTTATGTTGTCTGATTTGTCTTTTGTAGCCGTCAGACAGTTTGTTTCAGAAGGCTGAGCTCACAGAAATGTAACATATCACTAACTATTATGAAAACACAACTCACCCACGATTCCAGCCACTGTGGGACTCGCGCCAAGAGCCTTTACATGGTGGCTCAAGAGCGGGATGATCATGCTCACCCCGAACAAGTCCTACAGAAAACAAGAGAAGATCACAAAAATGATTCAATCAGTTTTGGGACAGGACAAAAAATAAATAAAAAAAATAAAAGAAAACAAAACTTAAAGAATAACAACATTTTTTTACAGATAGCTTATTATGAGTAAGTGTGGAAGTAAATAATGTTCAATAAATAAAAAAAATATTGAAAAGCGTGTTTATTTCAGTAACTCAACTCACTAAGTGAAACATTACTAATCATAAATTGATATATTTTAAAGCTTTTTTGCTGTTAATGTTGATAATTACTCACTCACAGTTCATGAAAATGTGACATTTAAGATTAGAATATTACAGCAGCTAAATAAAAATACATTTTAATTCAGGAATGTAGGTGTAATGAAAAGTATGTTTGATATCTCCTAAAAGGTTATTTTCAAAATGTAGTTTTCATTCAGAGCACATATTCTGATTAATTGAATATGACTTAGAAGATTTGTAAATAAAAAAAAATCAACTCTGTGTTAAAACAGCTTCAACATAAAAAATATTATATAAAATAAAACACATATCCAACAGTAATATAAACATTCACAGTTATCACAGATATAGTACAGAAACGAAATATAAACATAGTTAAATTATATGAAAACATTACCAAATAGCCATAAAAACAATAATATAAAAACATAAAATAATTACTAGTAGTAAGAATAAAGTCCTTCAACTGCAAATATAGAATAACAATAACAATTAAAAAACAAAGTAAATACACAGGTAAGAAAATAGTAGATACATAGCAGAATGATAAAGTTATATTACTCATCACAGGAAAAGAAAAAGTTATTTATTATATCCTCCCAGATTTTGTACTTTGTGCTGCTGCTGAAATTTAAATCAGCAGCGCTTCCAGTCTAAATTTATGTTTCTCAGGGCAACCAGTCTCACCAAAAACACAGAAGAAACAAAAACAAAGAAGGAAATATTATAAAGCAACAACTTATTCATCAGACCTTTTACGGATATACTCTTCTGCAGATATTCGTCTGAATTACACATCTTTGACTTTGTGAAGACACAAGCTTCAAAAGAATGGCTTGGGTTTTGTTTTTATACTGATGGAGTACATGGGTGTGTCAGACAGCAGCTTCACTCCCTGCAGGAGGGAGGAGTCAAAGGAAACGTGACAGCCAGCAGGTTAGAAACAGGTGAAACATGCAGACAATCTACAGCTATTAATACAGTATTCAGTGCATGCTTACATAGCACAAATCAGACACAGCAGCTACATCCTGTTTTTCTGCAAGCTGAGATTGAAGTAGCTTTTGCCAAATGCTTAATTGGATGCACACAGCTGCTCATACAGCGCTCTAACACAATCCAATAATGACATTCTTTTAAAGCTTAGGTAACATTTTTTTTTACCCCCCTTTAGCTTTCAAGTGAGTTTCCTGAATTATTTCAGTCACCTTTAATTAGATGACTGAAACTGTGAAAGGCTTTAATTTGGAAGAATCTGAGGGGGTGACCCAAAACCTCCTTAATTACAAAAGCTTCAAAGAATTGATCATTGTGTGTTTGTGAATTTAAAACTCCTCTGCAGCAGCTTGTTGAGGTGTTAGAACAACTTGACATTCTCAGATTCCTCAATGATTAGCCCATTACCACAGCACCAGTTAACCAGCGATAGAAATGAGACTGAACCGGTTCTAATCTGGACCTTTACATGCTTAACATCACACCTGAGTTATGAAAGCCTGCCCGGACTACCAGTGTCATTGATTTCACATCTCACCCAGTTAGACACCTGAAGCAGCAACAAGGACCCGCAGTTCCCGACTCACCATAAAGCCCACCACATAGATACAGTGTATGATCCCCTTCCGTCCTTTCAGTTTCAGGAATAAAGTGCTACATCTCTGGTTGTTCATCCTCCCGCGGTGACAGCTCGCTCACAGCCGAGGCGGAAGCTCCCATCCGGCTCTACTGTAAGCAAACACGGCGGACGTCTCAGAGCCGGCGGGCCGCTCCGGCAGCCGCAATGGGGGAGACGGTGGACCGCTGCCGGAGAGGGGGCAGACATGTTGGACCGTGTCAAAGCTACTGGGTTAAAAGAAACATCTTACACTTTAAGAGAAGTGTGTATTTCTTATCGCAGAGGTTAAAGGTGAATTGTTTTATTCTTATAAGTAATTTTTGAAGTGACTGTTCCCCCGTGACTGTGAAGTAGATGGTATCATCCATTTACGTCACAGATGTGGGACATGAAAAAAAAAATGCTTTTCGTTATTAGCTGTAAATTGTTTGTAACGAAGAAATTAAAATAATTTAATTGTAATTTATTTTGAGTTATAAAAAGCTCTGCCTATAATTCTGACGTTTAGTAAAAAGGGACATCATTTACATTTTTTGAGGTCCTTCCTTTTGTTTTCTTCAACGACCTTTGAATGAACAAATTGTGTTTATTTCCTGCCACCTACTGGATCATCTCGAGCACTGCTACTTTAATTAAAAAAAATCTACAACACATAGTATAAAAATAAAATAAAATAAAATAAAATAAAATAAAATATTATCAAAAATTTAGCATTTGGACCTAAAATGTAAATAATATCGTTTAAAATTATATAATAAAACAAAGCAAATTACAAATAACAAAATAAATATAAAATCTCAACAATTCTCAGTGTTAATCCTTAAGAACCAAAACATTAATTAAAATTAACTATAAAACTGACATTAAAAATAATGAAACCAAACATATTTTAAAAAGTAAATTATTGTCTTAATTTCTCAAGTACACATCACATGAACCTTCAAAACATGCAAGGAAAATTAAATATGCTGAAAGAAGTGAAATAGATAAATTAAATAAAAATAAATAGATAAATAAATGAAAACGTCTCCATTTCTTTAAAACAAATTTCTCAAGGATGTATCACATGGAAGTTAAGAACTATATAGTAAAATACACATTGAACTAAAATCATACTTTTAAAAAAACATTATAAAAGAAAATAAATGAATACAGTAAAATATGCACCCTGAATCAGTTTCTAAAGTATGTATCAGGTGGACTTTAAGAATTGGTGGGCTACTATCTATATATCAAAAGAAAACTGAAATAAAACAAAAACTAAAAAAAAAAATTAATACAATTATTGTCCTTGAAGAAAAGTCTGTACAGGATTCTTTTTTCTCAGAATAAAAACAAAACCCCTAATTCTCCATGCGCACAAAAACAAGAACATTTATGTTTTACTGATGCCAGATACAAGGCACATTTATTTATTTTCGTGTAATTTTACTTAATGACATTCATAATATCATAAACTGTTTTGTCTGCCCCCTGGTGGGTCATCAGGTTTACTGCTGCTCTATTTAAAATATAATTTTAGTATTTCTAAATATACACCATATGGCAGTTGACCAAACTGAGCTATTACTAAAATTCAAAATATTTTGTTGAAAATCAAAATGAGATTTTACTCTGTTGGGATGAAGTTGACAAAGAAAGACTCCTGACCACCAGAAGCTGACCAAACCAACTCATTTACTCGGGCGGACTTAGAGTACACACTAGCAAGTCTACAGGAAAAAAAAAAATGTTGGGACTTGAGTATAATTTTACTTGCATGTACCAACCAATCCTTACAGTATGTAAGATGGCTTGTAATGGCAGCCGATTGTGTTTGACAATAAAATAGTGATAAAGAATTTCAGCCTGTTTTGGTCTTCCAAACAAAACTCCTCCATGTGTTTTATTGTTGCAGTATTTTAGTCATTTCTTTATTCCCACTTACAACTCAAACTGCTTTGCTGCTGTTCAGAATACAAAGAAACACATGTGAAGAAGAAATCTGATTAAAAACAAGTAAAACGTAAAACTCTGATCAGGAGCCTCACACAATGTCAATAGACGAAGTTGCAGGTTTTGTTTTGACGAACGATTTAAAGCAAAAACAAATTTCACAACTAAAGGAAAATGTTATTGATATGTTGTTTTGCATGTGAAAACTCACTTCAGAATAAATCAAATCTCTGAAGTGAGTTTCAGAGATTTTGCAAAACCGTCTGGCAGATTTAAACTTGTCCCTCCTGGGGCATCATCACTTTGTTGTCTTGTAGGAGAGAAGGGGTTGGTGTTGTTGGATTATGCTCTCCTTTGCTGCCATTTCTGTCTCACCCCACTCTGACATTCCCTCTCAGATTCTGGGTGTCCAGTTGCCTGGTTATTTCTGCGCTAATCCCCTTCCCCTCACGCTCACCAAATGCTCCATGCATTCAGCTCCACAGCGGAGAGGAGCAGCCACCTTCAACCAGACATCAAAAATAGCCCCGGGGCAGGGAGGGGACTGGGCTGGAGGATCCAAAAGAATCATGTGGACAACTTTATCCTCCCATAACACAGAAACAGATAGCGAGGAGGACTGAAGATCCAGTAACCCAATGATACACAACTGGATAGGCTAGAAACCCACCAAATCAGAGGATCTGAATCTCTGTTCAAGAAAACCAAGTGTGTGAATCTAGCGGCCGATCCTGGAATATGAAGCTCAGCGTGGCATTGTGTTTTGCTGGGGTGTTTGGGGCTTTGGGAGCAGCATTTATCTTCCTTTCTTTTGGAACCGATTACTGGCTTTTAGCCTCACAAACCTGTGACCCAGAAAATAAGGACTCCAAAGACAGTCTGACAATTACGGTGAGTACTGGTCTCTCAAAAAGGCTGCAGGTCAGGGAGGATATGAGAACAGCTGTATTCACTACTAGTTAATGAAACAAGAATAAGGCAAGTTTTTCTGCTCTTCAAGTTGCGTTTTATTACTGCATAACATTACACAGCAGACATCAACTCATTTAGTTGCTGACATTCAATGAGATTCAAAGATCAGCTGCTCCGATTATTTTCTCAGCAGCTGGACTACAGAGTGGAGAGGAATCCCGGTAATTCGACTCTGTTTAATGTAATGTGTGTGCAGCTATGCAGTGATTGAGGAAGAGCTTGTACCGTGTGCCTCTAAGATAGAAATATAAGTCCCTGTAGTCACAAAGGCATGACGGCATATTATATATCACCGAGTAGAGCATACTTAGCTTTCCAACTTCCAGAGAGGGCTTGTACTGACACGGACACTGGAGAACAGGACCATAAAACTGGAGTGGTGCTGGGTGGTGCATGCTACACTGAGAAGTCTAACTCCTTATGAAGCTTTAGGTTGTACCATGAGGTTTCTAAGTTTCAACAAGCTATGAGGATTTTATGTGATAAAAAAAAAAGTAGTTGAAAAGAAACAAATGTTTTCGTATAATTGTACCACATTTTTAAGATTTTTATGTGGATAAAATCTTTGAAAGGTGTGGCATGCATTTGTGTTCAGCTCTCTTCAACATCTTGTGCAATCAATTGATTTCAGATGTCAAATAGAGCATTAATGAGCTGAGACAGCTCCTTGGACAAAATACTATTTCATCCAAAAGAATAATAAAGAAACTGCAGAGACCGTCAGCTCAGGTTTTAGAATTGGTTGAGAAGACATCTTTTAATTGAACAACACCAGCCTGTGGGGAAGAAGGACGAGTAAAGCCATTGTTGAAAGAAGCCAGTGGAAGTCAAGCTCTGCAGGGGACATAGCATGTTTAGCAAGACGGAAGGACCAGAAATTCAGCTTGTGTGCCCATATTCATCCGTACTTTGCAACATAGTGGTGACAGCGTCATGCTGTGGGAAAGATGGTCGGAGTAGATGAGAAGAACTAAATAAAGGAAGATTGTTGAAAAAAAACCTACTATAACCTTCTGAGGGCTTTAGACGATTTAATGATTTCGATCAAAATATGTTTCAGTATCATTGAATGTCAAAGCCGAAATGTAAAAGATGTGGCATTAATTGGGAAAGCTTTTGAAAACCAGGCATTATTTAACTTTCATGCTTATTCTTTACTTTATGTTCATTTTTAACATCAATCCCAATAAAAGTGTTTAAAGGTTCAGGGTGTGAATTCATCTGAAAGTCATGGAAAAAAGACCTGATCTAATGCCGTTAATAATAATTTCTTCATAAGAAATTCAATGTTTTTTTTCTTTGTAGAAAATAATGAGAAAAAAATACATCCTCCCTATTTCCATCTCCTATATCTGATGAATGAAGAGCCTGCAATCTCAGTTGGCACCAAAGAGGAGCAGCCAGAGGTTAATGGGCCTTGCTCAGCTCAACCTTTGACCTTCTTTAGCAGCTGCACAGACAAAGTGGCAGCAGATGCTGCAACTGTATCTCATAAGTTTGAGAAAGCGCCACACCTAGCAGGCCTCATAGAGTGCTTTGCCAAACTCATTGAACCTCTTTACCAAAACATTGTCCTATAACTCAAAACAGTGTGTTTTATTGGGATTTTATGTGACAGAGTAAAGCAAAGTAGTGCTTAATTTTGAGATAGAAATAAAATAATACATGATTTTTAACATTTGTTGCATTAAAAACATCTTAAAAGTGTGGCATGCATTGATATTCAGCTCCCTTATCTTGGTAGCTCTAAATAAAACTCAGTGTGATCGCATTGTATTTAAAGATGTTTGAATATTTTTATGAGACACAATATCAGCTATATTAATCAAAGCTGGACATACTCAGAGTACACCTTAAGTTCCACCTTTGTTTTCTGAATCTTATTTCAGCTAGCCGTTGATGTGGCGCACAACCAAAGCGGCAAGATCGTCTCATTGCATTATGGTTTCTTCTGGATTTGCTATTCTGGAATCCCTCTGGATAAATTTCTCAACTACACAGGGGCAATATCATCCTGTGAGTGAGCAGCATTTTATTGTTTGAACTGACATTATTTTTTATTTTATCACAATACTCATTCATTTTCACATATTTAGAGGAGTTGCTTACATGTGAGACTAATAATACCTTAAAGACAGAAACACGTTGTATCTGTGTGGATGGTGCAGAATAAATTAACTCTCCAGAAAACTGATCGTTTGATTTCTTGTGAAACTTTATGCCAGAAACAAAGAACAGTTTGGTTTTTGTGCTGTTAGTCTTTTGAGGATGCCTAAATAAAGTTAAAACATTAATAAAAGTGAAATAATCTGCTCATGCAGGAGGAGCACAGTATGTTCTTCTATTTTTATTGATAGAAACGTCCCAAACTCTCATGTGACTGGATGAATGAGGGTCGTCTGTCAGCTGGTTATGTGTCATCCATTTTTTTTTTAATGGTCACTATGGTGACACAGTCTGCAGAAATGAAAAGGCACCTTCTGAGGATTTATGGAATTTCACATGAGTAATGAGAAGATATAAAATTATACTGTAGGTTGCAAACTAATGAGTACAACTAAGGTAACTTTCATTACTGTAGCCGTTGTGAAAATATGTCTCTTTTCTGAAGGGAAAAAGTCTTCCACAAAACTCTGCTACCTTGGCTACCTGTTCCCGTTCCCACAGCCAGGGCCTACCAACAGTACAACAGAAGACAATACAGCTATCAGTGAGTGTCATTCATACAAATTATGACACAGCGTTTCTCTGCAGCAGGCTAATATCTCCGCTCTCTACAGTCTACGGAGGCTTCTGGAGGATCTTCATGCTCATAAGTGTGGCAGCGGTAACTCTCGGAGGGTTCCTCATCATCTGTGCGGCTCCGTTTGCCAGTCACTGCTTGTACAAAGCAGGAGGCGGCTTCTTCCTGACGTCTGGTGAGTTTAATCCAGGGGCGGCATGGGGGACTAAGCATGTTTTTCTGAGCAGTAATGTACTGAAAATACGAACCTACCCAATCCCCCCCCGCCCCCAGAGTGAATTTCAACCTCTTTAAAAGGAGTTATGTTCATAACTCAGGAGTTATGAACATTTTATTGGTTATTAATAACAAAATGAGTCTTTTATCCATTTAAAATGTGAGTTTCTCATTTTCAGTCAGTTAACAATTGCACTAAAGGAAGAGGTGATGTCTTATATTTTTTATTGAAAGAATCAACTGGAAAAATCTACAGTTTGCTAAATATTATAAAGAAAAAATCAAGACTAATGTGACCCAACAATCCAGAGTCAAGTTGGAGATAAACTACTAATTAACGAGGCAAACAATTCTTCTAAGCTACAAACTGTGTGGGGGAAGAGTTACGGGACTAGTACTATTTTCTGAATTAAAGCTGAGATGAAAATCAAGACATTGTTTGAATCTAAGATGCAACGATGTTAGTTATCGTAATTGATTAATTCAGACGTTTATGATCTACTTTATTCTAAGATGAGAGATTAATGAGGGGAAAGAAAAAACAACAGAAGCCTAAAGTTTTGGAAACACAAAGATAATTCAGCAACTTTCTATTCGACGCATGCAGCTGTTTATCTCTATTTTTAAAAGGAGTCTTGTAGGGCTTCACTGAAAACACACAAAACCACGGTATCCATTGCAACTAAGTATTTATTCCACCACATTCTGCACAAAACAACAGGCCTTGTGACTGAGTCGGCTTATTTTATGGATAAAAGTTTATTCAGTTTTGTTCTCTTTGTGTCTCCAAACACACAGCCACCCTTTTAACACCCTTTACTTCTTGAACAGGAGCCGTCACCAGGGACTGATTAGCCAATCAGAGATGGAATTTAAAGTAATTATAGCAACAAGCTGACGGGGAAAAAAATGTTCAAAAAGATTGAACAAGACCTGTGTGTTATCTGAGAAAAAGAATAATTGTGCAGAGGCTGAACATGAACTACAGTGAGGGAATTTCAGTGCTTGAAATGATCGAGTTTACGGCATCCCGGACTCACTCTGTAACTCTTCTCTGCACCTGCAGGTTTTTTCATGCTGTGTGCCGTGGTGATGCATGTGGTGTGGCTTCAGGTCCTGGATGTGGTCCAAACCTTCATCAACGAACAGCGAGCTTCCCATTGTCCAGACTTCACACTGAACCTCAGCTACAGTCTGTCCTTCGTGTTTGCCCTCATCGGGATCTTCTTCGCCCTCTTGGCGGGCCTTCTGTTCCTGCTCATCGGTCGAACTGTAAAGATCCACCACTGATTGAAAAGTTTTCTCTTTTCACGCCCGTCTGATGCCGTGTCATCGGGACGTTGTGGATTCTCTCTCTCCTCTGTGGTTTCAATGATCTGACAAGCTTGAACATTTTGGTGTGAGACACTTGTTTTGTTTTCTTGTGCAGTTTTGATAAATGGTAGCCTGAGAAACAGTGCGATGAAAACATATTTATACCCCTTTTACTTTGTCCATTTTTACGTTTTTAGATTGTTCAACACAAAGCAGTACATAATTGTGAAGAGGCAGAAAAAGAATAACACTTTTACAGTAATGGTGTGCATTGTGTACTCACCCCCATTTACTCTGTTGCCAATTAGTGAAGTCCAGATGAGGCAGGAGTCTAGGAATTTGAAAATGTAGCCAACGTTTGAGTAACTCGATCTCAGCCAAAATCCAGCTGTTTTGCGAAGGCCTCAGAGGTTTCTTTGAGAACATTAGAGAACAATAAACTTTAAGATTTTAAAAAAAAAGGGAAACTTTTGGTCTCAGGAGGTGTAAAGCTTGCAGAGACATACTCCAAAAAGTGAACTTCATTAAACCCCCAAAAATAAATTAGATTCTGGTGTAAATTTCATTGTCCAAGTTTCTTTAAATATTCAGAAGGTTTTTGTCTGTGGGTAGAAATATTCTTATTCAGCGGGTTTTAATTGCAACAAAAGGGAATTCTACAAAATATTGATTTCCAGAGGCTGAATATAAAAGCATGACATTATTATTTTTTTATTTTAGGAAATGTTGAAAATCTTGATGATCATCACTGTTATCTAATGCATTTTGTTGATCATATAAAATCCCAACATTATTGTCAAACCTGTGCTTTCGGGGTTGTAAATACATTTTCTCAAGGTTCTGTATTTTTTAGGTCACTTTGTAAAAAATTGTGGTTTTTTTTATTTAATTTTGTTGAACAATGCTTATTTTTATTTTTTTTGCTTTAGCACAAGAAGTTGAAGGGGTACATTTCTATACAAATTCTAATTTTTCCACATCATGAGTCCAAAAACCGGGTACAGAATTGTCTCTGTGCATTTTTCAAGCTGAACATTCACAACAGTGGAAGCAACAATATCTATATTAGTTTTAGTCAAAGAATGAATCTGTGTGTACAGCAGAGTGGCTTATGCATGATGCTAAGTATTAGGCCACAGTTGTAGGTATAAGGGCTTCAGTTTCATTGGTGCAATGTCGGAGCTTTATCCACAGACCTATAAGAAGCTTTTTAAAAAATTATTATTGCCGTTTTAGTCAGGAGTTTTTGCAGTAAGAATGCTTTGATGTTATGCAACATAGCAAAGTGTTTTCAGGCTGTCGCGCTCACATTTTCATCATTTTCTAAGAGATATCAGATGGATAACGAAGACAAAACTGTAGAATATCCTGGTGACGTCATTCTGATGTGATGATGTCACTTACTGGTCAAGTCTGAAGCAACAGTTTCATGTTGGTGCTTTTACACTATTTGCTGTAAATGATTTTATCACAACTGCAATAAATATTAAACTGTTTGTGCTCTTTGACTGTGAAGGAGTGATTTTTCTTTCAGTCTTAAAATGATCATTTTCTCCAAAATAATAGAAAAAATGTTCATATAACAAAACATTAAAAAATGAGAAAACTTTGCTGTTATACTGTGTGCATAACCTGCAAAAATACCTTCTGCAGTTTTGTAAAATTGTATTTCTAACAAGATGCACAATTATTACTTCTTTTAAAATTTATTTTCATGCTTAAAAATCTCAGTTCAGAAAAAAAATACTTACGAGTTAGTATTTTTATATCAGTTGATATTAAATTAGAGTAACTATTTCCTGTTTTATGTGTTAGTAATTTGAGAACATGTTTCCATTTGCTAAATGTCAAAATATCAAGGAAAACTTTTTGTTTTCCATAACGTTTTGTATTATTTTTATTCAAATGTGTCAAGATGACATTCACAAATATGACCTTTGAACAAAATGAGAAAGCCCAAATTATGATTATATAAAAAGATGGTTGGAGGCACAGCTGTGAATGTATTTTAAGGCAACACCTCAAACTCTATGTTAATTTCCAAATAAAAGCAAAAGATCTTGTAAAGATGCTGGTAAAAGAGTCAACATCCAACTGAAAGTGGTCTGAAAGGCCACTCAGCGAGGAAGAAGCCATTATGAAAAGAGATTGAAAGAGTTCTCAGAGATAAAGACCCAAAGCAGGAACCTTTTATTCACCGTCCCAACTGTGAAGTGTGGGCATGGCAGCATCATGCTGTGGGGTGTTTTGTTGCACCTCTCAAAATAGATGAAACATTAAGGAAACAACATCTCAATAAATTAACTGGAAAGTCAAAGTTTTGGTGTGAATAGTTCTTACAGAGCAGAGAACGACACAAAGAATACCACCATTATATTATAAGTAATATAATATATAAAATGGCCCTCAGTTGACAGTTGTAGGAGCTTAAACCAAAGATTTTGACCATTTTTAATAAATACATATAAAAAAAAACAAATAACTACAATTTCAAAGTTTCCAAGCTCTTCAACGGAGTGAATTCAATGAATAACCACACTCCTGAAGTGTTTACTTTGAGTCTTTTCAGCTCATAGTCTTACATTTGAAATCCTTAAAGTAGATCAACATATATATATATATATATATATAT